GATAATTTTGTAGTCCTATAAATAATTGAGTTTTGTTCGGGGGTGCAGTTAAGTTACTTGGAAATGGTTGATCCTTTTCAGCCTTTCTTTTAAGGCTTGTTAAGTGGAACTAGAGTTGTGTTTACTGTAGAGTTAATTATTCCCAACTACCAAAAGTAGGCCCTTCTGAGCACTTTACTCAATTATGATATTCTTCTGGTGTGGTTTGTGGGAACAGGCCCTATTCCCAGCACTGTGTGAGTTCCCTCTAATCCTTTTTGATAGTTTCCCCCACGCTTGGGTAGTTTCTCCACATGTGTGCACTGATCAGTACTCAGCTGAGCACCTGAGGGGGTTGCTCTGCAGACCACCACTGTTCTCCCTCTAGGCATTGCTCCCCTCTCTAAATCATGGCTGCTTTGGTCTCCCTGAACTCTCAGCTCCATCTCTTCCACTTAGTGACTTCCCTTGACTCAGTCTCCACTGAGTGGTTTCCATTCTCTGCACTGCTGCCTGAAAACTCTCTTGAGGCCATAAGCTGGAGCAATCACAAGGCTCACTCCTTTGCTCTCCCTCTCTTAGGGCCACTGTTCTTCAATGTCTGATGTCCGGTGTCTTCAAAACCACAGTTTCATATATGTTGTTTTTTTTTTTTTTTGGTTGTTTCAGATGAAAAGGTAAAGCTAGTCCTTGTTACTCCAGAATAGCTAGAACTCATTACTTTAAGGAGATTTAAACAAGAAGAAACGCGTTTCCTATTTTCCCACATAATTGCATTTTCAGTGCCCTTTTTTCTGTTGTGTGGATCCATATTTCCATCTGGTGTCATTTTTCTTCCATTGAAAGAAGGTCCTTTAACATTTCTTGTAGTATCGGTCTGCTGGTTATGAACTCTTTTGGCTTTGGTATGTCTGAAAAAGTCTTTATTTTGCTTTTGTTTTTGAAATAGATTTTCATGTTTTTTCTCAGAAAACAATCCATCTCCACAATAAGAAACAGAAACACGAAATCCATCTTTGATGATTCTGCAAGATCTTTGTATCCTTGAACCACAACATGTGAAAATAGAATGCAGATGGTGGAATAACAATGATGATGGATGATGATGATGATGATAGCACATGTAATGTAATGTTTATGATGTCAGCCAGCATAGCAGGCTCTGCAGGAGATTCAAATTAGGTTAATTCAAGGAGGACTTCATAAGGGGACTTTATGCACTTGTGGGCAGAGTATAGGAACAATGCAGTCTCCTAGGGCTAGTGACAGTAGTGTTGGTACCCTCCTAGGCTGGCAAGCTTAATGGGAACTCAGAGAGGACTCCTTGAGGGGAGTTGTGACTTCATGTCAAGAGATGCAGTTAGACCAAGGCAATTCTTTGAGAGAGCAGGGGGAATAAATACTCTAACCTCACCTGCTCCCCTCTCTGATGTTACGCAAGCACTTCCCTTTGGCCGGAAGCTACTAGCCAAGAGAGCCCATTGATGAAGTACATGCAGGTGCTGCAGGCACAGTAAAGGAAGGATCGGGTTAGAGAGTGGCTTTGGAGAGGTAAATGAAGATATCTGGCATTGCATCCTTGGATATATTAGCTCCTTTAATCCTCCCCCAAATCCTATAAATTACTATTATTATCCTCAGATGAACAAACAATGCAAGAAGAAGAAAAACTCAACAAAACTATGATGCCCTCAGTTTAGAGAAGATACGACTTTCACTAAACAAGAACAAGATACTCTAAGAATAGGAACAATGATAGAAAAAGGGAAAAGGGGTGCCTGGCTGGCTCAGTCACTAAGCATCTGCCTTCAGCTCAGGTCACGATCCCAGGGTCCTGGGATCGAGCCCTGTGATGGGCTCCCTTCTCAGCGGGAAGCCTGCTTCTCCCTCTCCCTCTGCCCCTGCTTGTGTTCCCTCTCTTGATATCTCTCTCTCTGTCAAATAAATAAATAAATCTTTAAAAAAAAAAGCAAGCTTTCTTAAAAAAAAAAAAAGGGAAAAAGATTTAGCAATAAAACCGTGATTGGGGTGCCTGGCTGGCTCAGTCAGTAGAGCACATGACTCTTGATCTCGGGGTTGTGAACTCAAGCCCCATGCTGGGTGTCAAGGTTACTTAAAAAATAAAAAAAATTTTTTTAAAGATTTATTTATTTGAGAGAGAGAGCATGGGGAGTGGGAGGGCAGAGGGAGACGGAGAGAGAATCCCAAGCAGACTCCCCGATGAGTGTGGAGCCCGACATGGGGCTTGATCTCATGACCCTGAGATCAAGACCTGAGCCAAAATCAAGAGTCAGAATCTTAACTGACTGAGCCACTCAGGCTCCCCAAAATAGAATCTTTTAAAAAAACTGTGATAGCTAACCTTCTCCCCAAATTAATAGAAGGGTTATAAGATAAAGACAAGTAAGTCTCCCTGAGAGAGAACAAAATATAAGGAAATAAAAAGTAGGAATAAAGGGATAAGAATATTTGAAAACCAATCAGGAATAAGAGATCAAATCCACAAAGTTCAAAATCTCTCTTTCTGGGGTTCCTGAAAGGAAAAAACCCCAGAAAATTGTGGAAAGGAAAACACCAAAGAAGAAATACAGATTTGCTGGATTGAGAAGACCACTCACCCCTCTTCCAATCATGCAGTACTATGAATGAAAAAGACCAATCCCATACTTCTGAGAAATTTCATAACACTGCATGTAAATTTAAAAGTATTAAATAACAACATTGAAAACTCTTAGCTCTTACTCATTTTCAAAGTGATTTCACATTCACTATATCACTTTTTAAATGGCCTGAGGGCTTAAAGTGTCCCTTCACAGACAGGGAAACAAATACACTGAATACAACACCTGCAGGATGATATTCTTCCAACCTTTCACAGATGAGTAGCACAGTTCATTAACATTTAGGTGTATTTGTGTGTGAACACCTATGTGTAAATGGACAAGTCAATTGGAATGCCTGTCCAGTTTCCTGAACTAGACGATCAGTTCTCAAAGATACAGAGCATGGTTTCTAATTCCTTGCTACGCTTTCCAGGTCAGTTGAAGAAGGGCTTAGTCTGGGTGGATCTACATAGCTGACTGATGTGCTAACCAAGCCCGGAGGAAGATGTGACACTATGAGCTGTGATTGTTTTGTGCTTCTTTGCATAAGGCCCAGTAGGTGCAGTGAATACAGTCACCTTTTCTCATTGTGTATTCCTATGGGCAAGGTTTAAATCTTCATGATCTTCAGATTCCTTCTGGAGGGTTTGGGTTTGAGTCACCCTCTTCAAATTCCCTTTCAATACCATAATTCCAGCATTCTGTCAATAAACAAAGATAGTATCAGGTTAATGACCCAACTGCATCAGTGAGAAGGGGTGTCCGGCATGGGTTTTCTGCAATACCAAGGGGAATCAGGTGGGGAAAACAGCCCACGTAGAACTGTGTGATCAAATCTCCCCAAGAGTCCTCAGGCTTTTGGAGAATTAGTAAAAGGTGGACAGAGACAGAACGTAAATGGAAAGTTGAATAGCTTGCTCTCCAAGACAGTGGGTTGCAGTTTCCTGTACCCACAGAGACTTTATGAAAATAACCCTGTTGTAATGAAGAATTTTGCATTCTCAGCTGCCGAAGACTGTGCCAGGAATGGAAATGAAAGCAGTCACCGGTGGTGACCACAACCAGAAGCTGAAACCACACTCTAATTTTGCGCAAAATTGCTGGTTCTGACTCTTCTTTGCTTATGACTTCTCATTTGGACTGCAAGGATTACATCTAGTTGTGTAAAATAACATCTTGAGAATAGACTGAAGAAAACCATTTAGCCCTCAGTCATTTGTACTAACCCACAACATGTCAGTACACTGCTAGGGATGCAGCCTCCTGGATCAAAGTCAGTACCATGGCAGTCAGAGGTGGATGGAACATCCAAAGAGGCACTGAAGAAGGACAAGGAGGATGGAAAGGAAGGAGGAGAAAGAAGAGAATGAGGAGGAGTGAGTTTTCATTTGGGGAAAAAAGGTGGACTTACATTTATGTGAGTATCTTGACTAATCTTAGAATTAGCAGCATGTTAAAGAAAATGGTGAGAGGTTATTACAAAGATGAGACTACCTACTGGCCTTATCGAGCCACCCTGCTACTGAGAATTGGCGACAAGTATTTAGCCTTTTCATCTAAAGACCACCTTTTGGGGGTGCCTGGGTGGTTCAGTTGGTTAAGTATCTGACTCTTGGTTTCGGCTCAGGTCATAATCTCAGGGCCCTGGGATCCAGCCCCACGCTGGGCTCCACACTCAACATAGAGCCTGTTTAAGATTCTCTGTCTCTCTCCTCCCCACAAATAAATTAAAAAAAAAAAATGAAGACTACTTTTTGGAGGAATAAAACCAACCATTTTTTTAAGGATTTATTTATTTTTAGAGAGAGAGATGGGGGGGAGGGGCAGAGGGAGAATCTCAAGCAGACTTCCCTGCTGAGCACAGAGCCTGATGTGGGGCTCAATCCCACAACCCTGAGCCAAAATCAAGAGTTGTACCTTAACTGACTGAGCCACCCAGCTGCCCCAAAACTAACAATTTTTAAATACGATTTTATGTATTTATTTGAGAGAGAGAGAGACAGAGATAGTGAGAGAGAGCATGAGCAGGGAGGAGAGGGAGAAGCAGGCTCCCCGTTGAGCAGGGAGCCCAATGTGGGGCTCGATCCCAGGACCCTGGGATCAGACCTGAGTGAAAGGCAGAGGCTTAACTGACTGAGCCACCCAGACACCCCAAAACTATTTTAATTAAGGAAAAAGTGGCATGAATTTCCAGTAAGAATTTCAAAGTGGAATTTGCCTCCTACTATTCGGTCTCAAGTTTCTCAACAGTCACCTATCCTAGCAGTGAGACGCAATACTCTTTTCCTATCACAATTATGACTTTCCACACAGTACAGATTCAAGATACAAGTGGTTAAACGTGAGTAAGTGAATAAGTGAATGAGTAGAGAATGCTTGAAAAAATAGATCTTAGAAATAGGAGTTCTGCAAAAGTTGTGATAGATCAAATTGAAGCATTTATTTCAACCTGCACCCTATTTTAGAGTTGGTATTTGGGCACAACAAGCAAAAATTCCAGAAAGAACCTCCCAGGAAGACAGCTGAAATTTGACATTTGTTGGGCACATACTGTACACAAAGAAGGTGACATTTTAATGTAATTTATTTGAAATGCTTCCAGAAAAATTTAAGGCCATTATACAAAAACATTCATTTCAGTAAAACATTCACTTTCTTCCCATAGGCCAGCACTTAATGGACCTCTTGTTTCAACACACTGACCAAAGTGGCCGATGGCTCCTGCAGAGAATGATTCACTCTTTCCTCCACCATCAAACATCGGTTCTCAGCTTATGTCTGCTTCTATCTGCAGCAGTTCACTCACTTGCTAAATCAATAACAATTTGAGAAACAAAGCAATTTTAAATAAACTCATAATAGAAAAAAAAATTCACCATGTTTAAAATCTATAAATACAGAAATATGTTTTACAGGGTAAAATTGACCACAATATTTTTTCATTTTTGAAAAATAAGTAATATTACCTTGCTTTTATATTGATACATCTTGTCACACAGCTTCTTTGAATGCACGTTAGATGTACATAATAAAATGATAACATAGCATTTACTGCTCTCTGTAAACTTGAAAGACACAGAAGATTAAAAAAAACCTTTTTGGCAATAATTTAGAATCATTACTACTAGTGCTGGTGTGGGAATAATTTTGCACAGGTCATCCTTAATATTTACACTCACAGGGAGCTTTTCTGTGTATTCAGTTAACTTTTTTTAAAGGTCGGCAGTCCACTCTGCATTGTAAATCAAGGCTAGACAAAGAGGTTACTAGTTTGGCTAACTGACCCTAATTAATCATAGAGTTAATTAAAATTGGCCTAAGGAGAATGTAATTATGACTCTGATCATAGTACAGAGCCAGAGACGGCGAAGTGTTGACCCAAAAGCAGAGCAGGAAAACCCAAGGCTCTGGCCTTTCCCAGAAGGGCACTGGACCTTGTTTTTCTCTTAATGTTTCCCGCCTAAGGTCATGATGAAGCACTTCTTCCAAACTCTTCCTCTCACATGTTTCTGTAAACAGAGTCACTGACTCACCTGCGGCCTCTTCCTCAATGCTCCAAAATATGAGCAGGCCTTGGCACATGAAACAAAATGATGATGGGCCTTCTTATTAGCCTGCTGAGTATTCCCCCAGGACTTTTGAGTTCTATTCTGGTGTCTTAGGCTAGAAATGGCTCTCTAAGGCAAGCCAGCAACTATGACAGGTACCCCCCACCGCCCCGGTGCAAATGCATTTCAGGTCAAGATTCAGAGCTGGCGGCTGCTTTCATGCTGGTCCTTTCAAGGTCAGACACTGTTCCACGTCCTAATAGATTATTGCATCAAATTTGCACTTGATGACACTGCAAGGTCAACACAGTGCTTCTTCCTTTGCACAATTAAGTGTCCAGTATCCCCAGGGATGTGTTCATGCTTTCTGGTTGGACAACATTGAACCAAGTTCACTGCAAGGACTGATCTTTTCCCGTTTTCCTGCACATACCATCACAATACACGAGTGACTTCCTCATGCCCTGTTTGCCAGGCCCTGTAAATTCCATGCCTTCAGCTATCATGTCAAAGAGCTAGAAAAGCATTAGAGAAACAAGGGAGGATTCTCTTTAAGCAATCTACATGAAACAGTAGTTTAGAGATTCTTTTCTATTTTTTAAAATCCAGCAGGACAAGTGAAAGTAACTTGTTCAAGTACCTCTCCATCCCTCCAGACACTTGTGAAATGCAATACAGGGTAAGAGTTGCCACAGACCCCAGCTTACACGGACAGATTGGCAGTTACAGTACTAGGGATAAAGATACAAGATACAAGAGACGGGGTCCACACGGTCACAAAAGTATTAAAAAGTGCTTCTCCAAACCGTCCCGTGTGTGGAATGCAAACACTGTACAGTAAGACGCACGGCTCTGTCAGACGTTGCTTTCGATGTACCTGCTGTTCCCACAGGAAGAGTCTGTCTGTTCCATGCGCTCACAGTCGAGGCTGACCTCGCTCGTGTCCATACTACAGTCTGACTCACTGTCCGATTGGTCCATCTGCTCAAGTTTTGTTTCTCCCTGTGGCTCCCGGCTCCCAGTGGCAGGATTTAGGAATGGTCCCTCGGAGTCCAGCACCCCGGCCTGCCCAGCAGCACACAGAACCGTTTCTTTGGCTTGACGAATGCAGTTGAGCCACTGCTGTTTGTTGAAGGTGTCATTGGCTTGTAGTGAGTGGGTCTGACTTTGGGAACCGTTTTTGAAACTTACTCTGAAGAAGTTTTTAACTAGAAATGAAAAATACATGTAAAAAAAAAAAAGGTCAACGGACAGGTATTTCCCAGGCCAAAGATAACCTATATAGTGACATTAACCCCCTGTACCTAGGGCAGACATCATTAATTGATTACAAAATGTGTCCCACTGGTCCAGGACGTGGCTCAGCTCTACGCTGCGGCCACCATCAAGCAACTGGATTTCACACCAGTGTAGCTCTCAGCTGCCCCTGAGGCTGGCAAATGGACATCAGTTTAAACCTGGGTGCATATTAAAATCCCCTGTGGGCTTGTTAAAAACAATGCCCGGACCGCACCGTTAAGAGACTCGGATGCAGTAGGTCTCAGGTGGGCCTGATAATCTGGACTTTCAACCACTGCCCCAAGTTAGAGCCTTTTCAAGTTTAAGAAGCTCTGTGTAATACCAAACCATGCCCATGATCCTCCACGTGATAACAGTACTTGCACATATATTACCTAAATGATTGAGAAGATACGCAAAACTCAGAGCTGTTACAAATTCAGTTTCACTTTAAAATAAAAATACATTTTCATTACCTCCACAGGAGCTATGTGTATTTAAAAAAAATGGTAGCGCACAATTTGGAAGACATTTTATTTAAGTTTTACCAGCACATAACGGGCCCCGCATGACACGTGCAACGCTTGGTTTGCAGAAGTGGGTGTGTTCAATCCCCTTGCACTATCCCTGGAGCCAAAGGTCCGGGAACCACCACTTCAGATAAATTCAGGCTCCACCTTTTGCTCCTGGGCAAGCGCCTTAACTTGTGTATGACTCAGTGTCCTTATTTGCAAAACGTGAGAAATGAAGAGGACCTATCTTGTAAGATTATTATGAGGGCTAAAGGTGGTAATGCGTGTGCTTCTACAACACCTGGTACATAGTTCGTATTCAAGAAATAGAAGTTGCCACCACCACCAGGGCGGACGGACTAATGAGCAGGTCAGAGGCAGCACATGTGAATTATGTTGACAATATGATGCCCCTGTTAACCCAAGAGGCTCAAATGTCACTTTCTCAAGGAAGACTTCTCTGATCATTTCCTCTAAAGCAAACCTCCAACTGTTATCCCTACTGGGTTTTAGTTCTCTTAACAGCACCTGAATATTTATTCATCATCTGTCTCCTCTATCACAATGTAAGCTCTGTAAGGGGGAGGAATTTGATGGTTTAGTTTAGTTTGACCATTTAGTATACTAGTGCCTGGAATGATAGATACATAGATACTCAGTAAACACTGCCATTGTAGCTTCTCTTGGTTAATTTGTTTATTAAGTCTCAAGTTAGAGAAGCCCATTAGAATAATTACAGATGAATCCTCAACCCAGGTGACCATTCTTAATCCTCTTTAGGGATGACTGCCCTGGCTCTACAAAGCCACCAGTAAGCAACGGCTATTGACACAGGGGCTATCTGGTATTAAGCATACTTTTATCCAATGGAAGGAGAGAGAGAGGGGTAATGTAAGGAGTACCTATTACGTGCAGACAGGTTCACTTGCAGTATCTTAATCCTTATAACAACCTTATAAAGTTGGTATGCATACATGCCCATTTTACAGATGGGAAACTGAGGCTCACAGAGGTGGCACAAGGTTACACAAGCAGGGAGTAATGAGACAGCATTGGAATGTAGTGTGACTCCAAGGCCATGGCTACTTCTCCCTCCACCAGCCAGCCACTCCCCCTGAACCACCACCACCAAACCATTCAACAGGTCAAAGCCAACAGCCATCCATACTTCTCTCATTGTTGCTAAATGCCCCGCGCAGGGAGCCGCCCAGCCTCACTTCTCCATCCTGCAGGTCTTCCAGCAGAAGGTCCTTTACGGGGATCGGCTGCCGGTACAACTGATAGCAGAGCTGCTCATTGTGGGTGACAGCTCGAGTGATCACAAGCACTTCTTGGAACAGGAAAACATGCAGTTTCTAGAAGAAAAAAATCCACAGGATTTCCCTAAGCGACCGCCTAATAAGAAGTTGATTAATGGACTTCTGCAGATAAGAGGTCCCCAGGTACCAGCTTCGCACTGTATTATGAACTTCTAGGCTCAGATCTACCTCCAGAACAGAAGTTGGGCATCTTGGAGGTATTTCCAGATGTACCTAGTGTCTTTCCTGGAGGAGTGCCTCCCTGGGGTGCCCATGGAGAAGGCCTTTCCACCTACAGACGTCTGCAGCCAGGACTGCCGGCTCCAAGGACATCGTCATATTGCATATTCACAACCTGTGCAGACACACACAGCCTCCAGCTTCCATAAGAAAAAAATGAGAAGGGGGAATAGAATAAAGGGAGCAGTGAAGGAAAAAGAAGTGAGTACCCCCACCCCCACCCAGGCTTTGGTTTATAGCACCCAATATAATCCTAAGTGAGCATAATGAACAATAGTCTATAAAGGATACGACTGGCATATCAAAGCCTAATATTAATCTTTGCTTCCCAAACCCATAAAAACACTCGCTCCTTACGCCACAGAGCTGAGTATCAGCTCCATCCAGGCACTCCAACTCAGAACGCTGCCCATTCCCGAGGGAACCAGAGTGTCCTGTCATAGCCACAAAGAAAGATGATCAAAGAACCGGTCCTTCTCAGTTATGTTCCTCAGAACCTCAGTGTTCTGAAGAGGCTGTGCTTAAAAGGCTGATGACTGATGTGTGTTGTGGGCGAAAAGAAAATCTCAAAAATAAAGGCTTGTCTCAAACCACATCATGAAAGCAATTTCACTGGGTGGAGCTGGGGTAAATTGGCTCCATTCAATTCCAAGTGCTAGACTCTTCTCACAGTTTGGAAATGCTGACGAATTGAAACGAAAAGATCTACAACCTTTCTACCTGGTTCTGGCTTTCCAATGGAGATATTTGGGAACGTGAACCCAGGGGTCTCAAAGAGGTGGAAACTCACATTAGAATCTTGTTTTGGGGAAGGAGAAGCATATTCAGCATTATCAGACAATTTTATATTTGGGAGAAAAGAAACTTGTGGACCCCCCCCCGCCCCCCACCTACTCTGACACACACACGTACTTGTAGAAATTAAAGCTTAACCAAATGTTGGCTGGTGCAAATAAAACAGATAATTTTGTACTGGGTGGGAGGAGACTGAGGAGTGAAAGTTTATCAAAAGTGCATTTAAACAGAGTAAAGAAAAAATAACCAAGTTAAGGGCTTTTTTTTTTTTTTTGAGGGGGATATAGGAATAATGTTAAGACCTCTTTTGGGGATGGGGAGGGAAGGGGTTGGTCATTGTTTTATATACTAAACATTAGGGGTTTTTTTGTTGTTGTTTTTACACTGTTTCTACTTCACCAATCCTCTAGCCAAGGTAGATAATTTGAATTCAGATTGTCTGGGAAACCTTTTAAAAACATCACTTATTTATGAGTGCTTCTTTTAGCCCTCAAACTATCAAGCTTTTCTTCCGACACAGGGCTTTATTCCTAAAGACTTCTATAATTCCACTGGGAAAAACAAATAACTAAAACAAATCTCCCACCCCAACTACTATCTTTGTTTTCAAAAATCTATCTGCCTGAAATATGAACTAGAGTTCATCTTTAATGCCCTAGGCATAGCGAACCAGAAAGTCTCAGTCCTTGACTGAGGGACAGAAAGAGCATAGGTCTCATTCCATGCAGTGATATATCATCCCAACCATTTCCCACAGGTCTTCTGAGAAAGAATGCTCAAGAAGCCAGAGATTCAGATTAGAAGTCCACCAGTATTTCTGAAAATCAGCAAGCAGAATGTACCTTTCTAGCAATCAGTAACTCTGTAGTCAAACAAATACTTCTTCAAGCAGTGGCCCGTGACCAGTCTCAATACCTCTGCTGGACCATCAGCTAGTTGGATCCCCAGCAGCTTTGATAATGGGCGCTATGATATACACTCAGTGATTTCAAATAACATTTCCAAGCCTGCTCACAAATGCCACTCCAAAGTCCAGGTCAAAAGGTTGACTCTTAAATCATCAAAGCTTTATTAAGAACTATTCAATCTAGTTTTGGCTTTCATTCTAAGAGTTGACTAGATACTGAAGATAAAATATAATAAGAGATTCTCTTTTTTGATGGCCTTCCCAACACTGAATTTAAATATCTATTGTATATAATAAAATCTATACATTATATAAATATACATTTCTATGTATAATATGTTTAAATTATAATATATAATAGACATATTAGCTTTAATTCCTACTGGCTACACATAAAAATAGCCTGGTGAGTTAAATGAATTTTGAGCTCTCATAAAATTCAAATCCATCCTTCCTTTATACAAATATTCATTCATTCATTCACTCACTCATTCACCTAACATTACTGAGTGCTTAGTACATGCCAGGTCCCCATAACAGGTGCTGGGGATTAACAAGACATGGACTCTACCCTAAAAGATCATAGTATAATGGAAGATACTGACAGGCATATGGTGGATAATTACAACCCACTGTAGTAAGTGCTCCAGGGAGATCTGTCCAAGTTGCTATGATAGGAGAGGAGGAACAATTTCAATATCTACTCAGGAATAAAAGCCAGGAAATTGGGCAGAGTTAGATATGAAGCCAGTTTTAAAGCAAAAACTGGTTTTAAAATGGCAGTCTGTGGATGGGTACCAATGCATAAAAAAAGCAAAGAATTTCTCATATAGCTAAGCATTTCAACTTAAGAGCTGTTTTTCCGAGATCATATACTTTTTATATCCTGTTAAAATTACCCCTTGTTTTCTGATATCAAAGCCAGAGGAGATGTTAACTGTTCTGTATTTGCTATTGAAGGTCATGATCAAATGAAATACAAAGTTGGCAACCCAAATTCTTCTTGAGTGTATACTGGTAGTGAAATTTTAATATATATATATATAATATATATTTTGTGAAATATATAAAAATATATATTAATTATAAGTTAGAAACACATAATACATATTATTTATATATAAATTACAATATATGAATATATATATACAATGTATATAATTATATATATATCCATATACATATGGGATCCTATAATACAAAAGACACTGGAAAGCAATTTTTGTCTGAAGAATATGACCCTGGGTAAGGAAGGCAGAGTAACAGGGGGCTGGGCATCAAATGAATTAAGCATTGGGGGAGGCCCAGGATGAGACCACTGAGGGAGAGTAGCCACTCACCACCCCTCGATTGTTCTTCAGTTCTCCATGACAGCACAGCACTCTCGAGTTGTCGATTAGAGAGTCTTTCTGGCCTTCTTCCAAGTAAAGAAGCCGCTCTTTGTAATAGCGGCACTCAGATTCCCCAGTCTTGGTGTTGATTTCTGCCACAATTCCCTGAATGATGTTTATCTATGGAAACAAAGAAGAAAGTATGGGGAAAGTAAGCAAACCATCCACACCAGTAAGTCCCAGGGGCTCAGCCTAGAAGGTCACCAAGATAGACTTGCATCTAATTCTGAGAGTCTGTTATCCAACTTGCTGCTTTGGGAAAAGGCAAAAATAAATACATGCTTTGAATATATTGTGTCCATCTATCCACCTATACATATACACATAGATATACATATACACACACATATATATTTGTATACACATACAGGTATTTGTATTATATATAAAACTGATGTTGATGCATAATTTTATCTCAGAGGAAGAGATATAAGGTATAGCTTTTGATGTGCAGGACTCATAACCACTGAGCTCTATGTTGCACATTTCTTCAAACATGCTTACAATGTTGAAAATACAGGCATATAAAAACTTTAGCCAAGGAGAGAAAACAAAGCAGAATGTAGTAGTCCCAAAAAGGGATCATCTTTGGGGGTTTGAATCCAGTTTCAAGGTTTCTCTATATGTACTCAATCTAACCTACAAACAAGATTTGCAAATTGGGTGTGATGAAATGATTTGGATAGCTTTTTAGTGGTAAAACATAAATGATTTAAAAAGGACAGAGAACTAGAAATGGAAAGACACTAGGTGTAATGATGGGAACTGTTTGTCTATATACATACACTCACACCCATGCCTAGAGCACATGTGAATATATTAGGGGTGGAGGGATTTCAGATCAAGGGTGGACACACTGTTGTTAATACAAAATGAAACAAAACAAAGCAATAAGAGTACAGCACTCAGACACAATCAGTGGGCATTTATTCTGATATGTTGTTGTTCTATCATATCATAGATAATATGTCTAAAAGATATAACATATTAAAAAACAAAGAACAAGAAATTAGTTGAGTAAAAACTCAAAGACACCAACCAAAGGCAAAATGATGACTTCCTCAGCAGGGACCTCTGTCCTCTAAGAGTGAAAAGACCAGCAGTCCCATCTTTCTTGTGGTAGTATTATTTTTTAAGTTTTTATTTAAATTCAGTTAACATAGAGTGTAATAGTAGTTTCAGGTGTACAAATGATTCAACACTTACATACAACACCCTATGCTCATCACAACAAGTGCACTCCTTAATCCCCATCATCTATTTCACCCATCCCCTACCCACCCTGGCAACCATCAGTTTGTTCTCTGTAGTTAAGAGTCTGTTTCTTGGTTTGCCTCCCTCTCTCTTTCTCCCTCTCTCTCTCTCCCTCTCTTCCTCCCTCTTTTTTCCCCCTTTGCTTGTTTCTTAGATTCCACATATGAGTGAAATCATATGGTATTTGTCTTTCTCTGACTGACTGATTTCACCTAGCATAATACTCTCTAGCTCCATCCATGCCGTTGCAAATGGCAAAATTTCATTCTTTATGGCTAATATTCCATTATATATAGTTATATATATGTATACACACACACACACCCCACATGTTCTTTATCCATTCATCAGTCAATGGACATTTGGGCTGTTTCCATAATTTGGCTATTGTAGATACTGCTGCTGTAAACACTGGAGTGCATGTATCCCTTCGAATTAGCATTTTTGTATTCTTTCCGTAAATACCTGGTAGTGCAATTGTTGGATCATAAGGTAGTTCTATTTTTAACTTTTTGAGGAACCTCCATACTGTTTTCTACAATGGCTGCACCAGTCTGCATTCCCACCAACAGTGCAAGAGAGTTCCTCTTTCTCCACATCCTTGCCAACACCTATTGTTTCTTGTGTTGTTGATTTTAGCCATTCTGACAGGAGTGAGGTGGTATCTCATTGTCGTTTTGATTTGTATTTCCCTGATGATCAGTGATGTTGAGCATCTTTTCACGTGTCTGCTGGCCATCTGTATGTCTTCTTTGGAAAAATGTCTATTCATGTCTTCTGCCCATTTTTTAATTGGATTATTCATTTTTTAGGCATTGAGTTGTATAAGTTCTTCATATATTTTTGATACTAACCCTTTTTCAGATATGTCATTTGCAAATATCTTCTCCCATTCTGTAGGTTGCCTTTCAGTTTTGTTGATTGTTTCCCTCACTGTACAGAAGCTTTTTATTTTGATGAAGTCCCAATAATTAATTTTTGCTTCTGTTTCCCTGGCCTCAGGAAACAGATCTAGAAAGAAATTGCTACAGCTGTTGTCAAAGAGGTTACTGCCTGTGTTCTCCCCTAGGATTTTGATGGTTTCCTGTGTCACAGTTAGGTCTTTCATCCATTTTGAATCTATTTTTGTGTATGATGTAAGAAAGTAATCCAGTTTCATTCTTTTGTATGTTGCTGTCCAGTTTTCCCAACACCATTTGTTGAAGAGACTGTTTTTTCCATTGCATATTCTGTCCTGCTTTGTTGAAGGTTAATTGACCATAGAGTTGTGGGTTCATTTCTGGGTTTTCTGCTCTGTTCCATTGATCTATGTCTATTTTTGTACCAGTATCATACTGTCTTGATCACTACAGCTTTGTAATACAACTTGAAGTCTGGATTGTGATGTCTCCAGCTTTGCTTTTCTTTTTCAAGTTTGCTTTGGCTATTCAGGGTCTTTTGTAGATGCATACAAGTTTTAGGACTGTTTGTTCTAGCTCTGTGAAAAATGCTGTTGGTATTTTGATAGGGATTGCATTAAATGTATAGACTTGTTAGTATAGACATGTTAACAATATTTGTTCTTCCAATCCATGAGCACGGAATGTCTTTCCATTTCTTTGTGTCATCTTCAATTTTTTCATTAGTGTTTCATAGTTTTCAGAATACAGGTCTTTCACCTCTTTGGTTAGATGTGTTCCTAGGTATTTTATTGTTTTTGGTGCAATTGTAAATGGGATTGATTCCTTAATTTCTCTTTCTGCTGTTTCATTATTGGTGTATAGAAGTACAACCAATTTCTATATGTTGATTTTGTATCCTGAGAATTTACTGAATTCATTTATCAGTTCTAGCAATTTTTTTGGTGGAGTCTTTTGGGTTTTCTACATAGAGTATTATGTCATCTGCAAATAGTGAAAGTTTGACTTCTTCCTTGCTGATTTGAATGCCTTTTATTTCTTTTTGTTGTCTGATTGCTGTGGCTAGGACTTCCAGTACTATGTTAAATAACAATGGTGAGAGTGGACATCCCTCTCTTGTTCCTGACCATAGAGGAAACACTCTCAGTTTTTCCCCATTGAGGATGACATTCGCTGTGTGTTTTTCATATATGGCCTTTATGATTTTGAGATACGCTCCTTCTTTTTTTTTTTTTTAAGATTTTATTTATTTATTTGAGAGAGAGAGAATGAGAGAGAGCACATGAGAGGGGGGAGGGTCAGAGGGAGAAGCAGACTCCCTGCCGAGCAGGGAGCCCAATGTGGGACTCAATCCAGGGACTCCAGGATCATGACCTGAGCCGAAGGCAGTCGCTTAACCAACTGAGCCACCCAGGTGCCCCGAGGTATGCTCCTTCTAAATCTACTTTGTTGAGAATTTTATCATGAATGGATGTTGTACTTTGTCAAATGTTTTTTCTGCATCTATTGAAATGATCATGTGGTTCTTATCCTTTTTTATTAATGTAGTGTATCACGTTGGTTGATTTGCAAATACTGAAGCACCCTTGCAGCCCAGGACTCATGTTATTAGCAGGGAAGAGCTTAACAGATGAGAAATGGTAATAAGGTCTCTTCTTGGTTACATTTACTTAATGGAAAAACAAAACAATCTCTGAAAAGCAAGATTTTTTTAAAAGAAGACTTTACTCAGTGAGAACTTACCAGATCTTGTAATGTGTTAAAGTGGCAGTGAATTCTAAGATTGTTAAGTGATTATTTTTCACATTCTAGTGAAATGATACCTTCTGCCCAAAGCCAACTGGATAAAAACTTCTACCCAGTTAGAACTCTGGCATTTCCAGGCAAGTCTGACAGAAGATCTTACAGCTCTGAGTTGAAGTCTGGTGACTATACCCTATGAACAGATGCATAATCTATATATTTTTGTAGCTATTATGAGTTTTAAAGCTCATTTATTCTTTTTTCTATCTCCCAAATTTTGGCGGTAGCACTACTTAGATAATAAATACATCTTTTAAAAAAACACAGGCTTTCAAACTGTGGAAAGAGCCAAGATGTCCATCGACAGATGAATGGATAAAGAAGATGTGGTATATATATACAATGGAATATTATGCAGCCATCAA